ATAATATTAGATAATAGTATAATATTTTTAATTGAAATATTTGGAGAATTTTTAATTTTTTATTAATTAAATAAGATAAAAATAATAATCAATTTATTTTATAAATTAAAAAGTCAGAGGGGGCCAATAGTTGGAGTTGTTTTCATTGTTCTCAATTCCCCACTTTCCACATCAAATACTCACTAGAATATCACCAGATTTGCAATATATATAGTGCCAAGAATTTGGGCCTTTTAATTCTAGAGCTCAGAAGTTGACGAGTATAAATTTTTTATCTTCCTAATTTCTTCAATTTCGGATCGAATTATCAGAATGAATATCCGATAATATAACAAACTAAATATATATTTAACAATCAAATTTTCGTTGAATTATCGGATCGAATAATTATTCATATCGAATTGGATCGAATCCGATATTGACATATTCGATTCATATCCGATTCATTTATGGTCCTACCTATAAATAAATTAATGGGCTTTCATTTAATTGGCATATTGGTCCCTTAAATTAATTATATATGTTTCTTTGGAGCACAAAGTTGAGCAGTGAATCTTTTAACATTAAGTCTTAATTCGGTAGAAATTAAAATTCATATTTTAATTTAAAATTTTTGTTACTTGTACACCCCCTCACTTGGATGGGCCCGCACAAAATAAATTATGATTTATCCCTCTATGTGAGGGGATATACACCCTTGTGTACGTATAACATCTAACTTAATTTAAATCAATGTTAACAACTAATGTTAATCATATATTTTATGAAATTTACAATTTTTCAACCACACATTTCATCAACTTTTATTAAACAGGGGCTAATTTCAGAGCTTTGGGGAAACTAGTTATTTGAAAATCACAAAGTGGGTAAAAATAGATATATGTATTTATAAATTAGATTGTTGCAATCCATGCCAAGAGAAATGAATAGTTTTGTACAAACAAAAATGATAGTGGGGCTCACACTAGAGAGGGCTCTAATGACCGTAAGTGTAGCAAAATTCTTGTAACAAATGATAGAATGCAACTCGCAGATTAATTTTCATACAAATTAGCTTTGTATAACTATATTCACACACACGCACGTCGTGGGAAATATCTATAAGTCGTGTTTTCTCTGCATTTTTATTTTAATATTAATCTATATAAAAGTTTTAATAAATTTTGATAAAAAATTATAAAATGTTAGTTTGAAAAGTTTACGGAAACTGTGAATCTCTTGTATGATCAAAGATTCAAAATTAAAGTTTGCTATTGTGGTGATCTATGAAACTTGTTTCAAAAAAAAAAAAAAAGTTTGATCATAGAATAATTTATGGGCTGAGTCAGATATTTATGTTCATGGGAAAAATTCATGGTTCAGGG